CCCTAAGCCCTAAACCCAGAACCCAGCGAAACGGGCAACCAGCGGACCCGAAGTTCGACAACTCTGAAGCCGGGAACCACTGAACCCTAAACTCAGGTTTATGGCTTTAGGGTTTTGGGGTGTAGGGGTTTAGGGTTTTAGGGGTTTGGGGATTAAAACTTATAAGGTTGGTTTTGGGGTTTAGGGTTTTAGGGTTTAGGGGTTTAAGGCCTAAAACCCCAGACCCAGTGCCCCAGACCCCAGACCCCAAGCGCTAATACCCCAACGCCTGCCCGAAACTTTGCGCTTCTTCCAGCGCCCTTTGTTGCACTTTTTCTGAGTTAGCCGCTAAGATGAGGAATCTGATTCCCATGACAATAAGGAGTTCACAACATTTACTATAGATCCCATAATAAGGAAATCAAAACTTACCATGAGATATAAATTCCTATCATGGTAGCTTAAATCAACTTCCCCAGCGAGAACCCAGTTGTCGGAGCCTCGCCATGGGTGCAGCAGCTCAGTCTGGCCCAAGCGCAGTCCGTAGCATCAGAGATCAGAAGCACGTGGTGTGGGTCTTAGGCTTGAGGCTTGAGGGTTATGGCATAAACTCCAAAGCCACAGCCCTAAACTCTAAACCCTAAACCCTGAACCCTAAAATCTAAACCCTAAACCCTGAACCCTGAACCCTAAGCCCCTCAACCCAGGGAGTTTAGGGTTCTACGTCAGTGTGTCGGGTGAAAAAAATCATCGCACTCAACCGGAGGCCAAGGTTAACGACCACCGTAGGGTTTAGGGGCTTGGGGGTTTAGGGTTTAGGGTTTAGGTTTTAGGGTTAGGAGCCTTAATAAATACCTATACTAAGCTACTCAGGCTTCTCCCTAAACCCTAAATACAACTTCCGCCAGGGTTTAGGGCAATTTAGGTCTGCAGTCTAATGTAGGGGCCTGAAGAATTACTAATGCTAATTTGGGGGGTGCCTTGTTATAATTAGAGTATACTGGGCCCCCAAACTCTATTCTAATTATTAAGGCCCCTATACTACTCCTCCGGCCTGAACAGAACTTTTGAAAGCAGCCCAGAAGATACCCTTTTCAACGTCTGGGCTCCCTGAACCCTTAACCCTAAACCCTGAACCCTAAACCCTAAACCCTATTTTAAAGTGTAGTGGTTTGATCTAAGTCTTCAACTTGGAGGCTTAAGCCTTTGAGCATTTTCGAATTAGGGTTTAGGGTTTAGGGTTTAGGGTTTATGACTCGCACTAATACTAAGGGTGCTGCTGTGCAGCGGCCAAAGCTGCCGTTCTTAGATTCTTCCCCTTCCGAGTCATGTTCCCACCGACCCTGTCGGCAATTTGCTTTTGATGGAGCTGCCTTTGGCAAGAGCAGCGCTTCAACGCGGGTTGGACGAGGTCCAGATGAAGGGGCCCCCTCTTTCCAGGGTTTAGCGCTGATACAGTGGTGACCTGGGTGGGGGACGCAGAGAAGGAATCGCGAGACTGTCAGCCTACACCTCCTGACCCTAAACCCTAAACCCTAAACCCTAAACCCGTGAGCGAAAGGGGGGCCATTGCACCTTAAAAAAAACCCTAAACCCCTAAACCCCTAAACCCTGAAATCCTGAAGCCAAATGAACCGAAGGGTCTGCACTATGGCGCCCAGCTGGCCGTGATCTTCCGTGGGGAGGCAGCATCGGTGTGTGTTGGCGAGGCGAGGCCCCGCTGGTTTGCTTTCAGAACATCCTTGTCAGCCACGGTTCAGGGTTTAGGGTTTAGGTTTTAGGGTTTGGGGGTCTAGGGTTTAGGGTTTAGGGATGCTTGTTGAGGTTGCACTGCCTGGCAGTTGTTGTGGTGGCGACAGGGTGGTGGTTGGGTCAAACTAGTGATGGTCGTGGTGGTGTTTACGCTTGTGGTGGTGATTGTCGTGCTGCTGATGGCAGTGCTGTCGGTGGTGATGGTCCGGTCGTTGCGCTGCCGATGCCAGTGATGATGACAGTGGTGATCTTGTGACTATGGTGCTAGTGCTGGTGGTGATGATTGTGGTGATCCTGGCTTTGGTGACGGCGCCGGTGGTGGTGGTTGTTTCTATCAAAATTTGCCAAGCCTGCTGGTTTCCTCTATCACAGACATTGGTATGTCGTGTCGGCTCGCAAGCTGTAGGTCATAGACTGAACTTGCATTCCCGTTGCACAAGATCTTGACCCATCTCGCTCTCGCTCTCGCTCTCGCGCTCTCTCTCTCTCTCTCTCTTTGTCTCTATCTTTCTCGCTCTCTGTTGTGTGCCTGACAACATGGCTGCATGTTGCAAGTTGAAATCAGCTGGTGTCATGACTGCTTTGACTATTCTACCAGGATGGTGATGGTGGTGGTGCTCACGATGATGAGAATCATCGTCCCGTTCTCCTCTCTCCTCCGACTGCAACCAGCTACTGCTGATACGACGACGGCGACTACTACTTACTACTGCCTCCACTACTTCTGCGACTTCTCTGTGTCTACCACACTGTACTATACTATACTATACCATACTATACTATACTTTTCCATAAATATTATTCTATACTATACTATACCATTGTACTGTACGGTACTATACTATACTGTACTGTACGATACTGTACATTGCACTATACTATACGCTATATTACTATGCACTATGCGACACTATACTATACACCACACTACACTACACTACACTACATTATACTATATTATACTATACTATACTATACTATACTATACTATACTATACTATACTATACTATACTATACTATACTACACTGTACTATACTATACTACAGTATACTATACTGATACTGTATACTGTACATTATATTATACTATACTATACTATACTATACTATACTATACTATACTATACTATACACTTTACTATACACCATACTTGCACATACTATACACTATACTATACACTAGACTATACACTCAACTATACACTCAACTATACACTGTGCCATACACTTTACTATACACGATACTGTACTATACGATATCCTACCATTCAGAAACCGTACCATCCTTTCCTTAACATTACCATTACTATACTGCACTATACCATGCTATCCCATGCTGGACTATAACATACTGCTACTGACCTTATAAACCCTAGACCCCAAACCCTAAATCCTAAACCCTTATAAACCCTAACCCTAAACCGCACTCTTTGTTGTCTCCCCGCCAGGCTTCCGAAGGGCGGCCTCTGGCGGAGGACGCGGTGCTCTGCTGGAGCTCCTCGGTGAAGCCCCTGATGGCCATAGCCCTCGGCTTGCTCCAGGCGGGGGTCTCAGGTTTAGGGTTTAGGGT